CCTAAACCCTAAACCCTCAACTTAGTCCGAAGTCCAGGGGCCCGGCCCTGCCTCGAACCCAAAGGGTTTTAGGGTTTAGGGTCTAGGGTTTAGGGTTTAGGGTATACGATTTAGGGTATAAGGTTTAGGGTTTAGGGTTGGGGGTTTAGAGCAGGGTTTAGGGGTTTCGGATTCATAGGTTTCAGGGCATCCGGACCAGAAGTATGCAGCTTATGGGCGGCTTGATCATATGACTGTCACCGTTTCTCCGAAACTTGACATAGTCAACTGAGCCCCGCACCCCAAACCCCAATCTCAATAATACAGGGGCCTTAATAAGTAGAAGAGTGTTTGGAGTATATTATACGATAATCATAATGAGGAACCCTAAAACCCTATTCTAATTATCAAGGCCCCTACATTATTGAGCTCCGCCTCTGTGTGTTCTTGGAGGCCCAGGGGGCTAATGAAGTAGGTTATTAAGCAGAGTTATACGTACCCCAAATGGAGTTACCCCAGCTCTAGCCCTACTTAATCTCAATATTGTAGGGCCTTAAGAACAAGAATATAGGGTTTGGGGGGGTATATTCTACTATCGTCATAATAAATAAGGAACCCACTTATAACCGACTTACTAAGTCCCCTAAACCCTAAACCCTAAACCCTAAACCCAAAACCCTAAACCCTAAACCCAAAGTCCTAAACCCTAAACCCTAAACCCTAAAACCCCCTGGGCCTCTAAGTCCTGCAGTCAGGCTGCCGTCCCGGATGGCGCCAACGAGAAGGCTGCATCGGACGACTCGACACTTAGGATCTAATTTTAGTCCCCCGAACACTTAGGGTATAGGGCTTAGGGGGTCTAGGGTATAGGGGTTTAAGGTTTAGGGTTTAGGGTTTAGGGACACTTAACCCTAACCCCCAGGTACCTACTATATAGGGCCCTAGGGGCTCTAGTACCCTATATAGTAGGTACCTGGGGGGTTAGGGTAAGATCTAATTCTAGTCCCCCGAAGACTTTGGGTTTAGGGTATAGGGTTTAGGGGGTTTAGGGTATAGGGGTTTAGGGTTTAGGGTATAGGCTTTAGGGGAAGCATTACGGTTCGAGCGGTGAGC